TCCTCGGCCGCGCGGTGCCCGGCGCTGCCCGCCCCCGGCCCGGCCAGCCAAACCTCCCTGCTGCTCCCCGCGCAGCCCCGCCGGCGCCTGGGGCCGCCCCGAGCTGGGGGCTCCTCGTGACCCTGGGAGGGGAAAATAACCCCACGGGGGCTAGGGTGAAGTCTTTCCCTTCCAGCTCAGAGCAGCGTCACGCTTTACCCCCACCACCACCACTGCCAAAGTTGTCCTGTTTCTTTTTTCTTCCTTTTTTGTTTTGAAAAAAACATCTGCCTAACAGAAAATGCCTTTCAGCCTTGCCCAGTGCAGCTGGGGTGCAGCCCCAGAATGGGAGATCCCCCAACCCCAGCACAGTTGTCCTCTTGGCTCTTGCCAGTCCTTTCTTTCCCCGCTGGGGTCTGAGCCAGTGCACAGCCAACAAACAACGGGGCATATTATTTTGCACTGCTGCAGCCCCCTGTGCCCCCAGCACTGCCAGGTGCTGGCGAAAGGGCAGGAAGGGCGGCGGGGGGGATCCGCTCGCCCGGCAGTGCGAGAGGGGAACCCTGCACCCCGCGGCGTGGGTGACAAGGGCTCGTCCCTCTCCTGCACCTGCAGAAGAAGGGAGAGAAACTTTCGTGGGAACTTGAGGGAGAGCGGCAGCCCTCACCAGCCCCTGCCTGTGCTCAGGAGTTTTGCAAATGTTCAACTTGTACTAATTTTTTTATGGCTGTATTCACGGTTGTTCCCTGTAAAAAATGGACCTGTGTTAGTTTATTAATAACCTAAACATTACGTATTAAAGACCTATGAGTGACACAAGATGACAAAAAGCTGTATTTTTCCAATATACACAAGCACACATTTAATAACCTTCTATTGCATCTCAGCTAGGCCTTCTCTCTGATGGTTCCCATGGCAACTGAGATAAAAAAGCAGCCATTTTCCATATCTCTATGAAAGTCTATTATATTGCAGGATTAGTTCATCTTCTGCTAAGGTCAAACACAAAGTCATACAACCTGAAATATTTAGAATCCATGTACATTCATTTTTTTATATGCCCTTTCATTTTCCACAAAAGACTGGGCTCCTCTGAGGTTTTATTCCCCAGAAAATGCTAAGCAAAGCAATAAAAAAAAAATCATGATTAGCAGCTGATGAAAAGTTCAATTGTTTTTTTTTTTTTTCCTCCTCCCCCAGGGTTACCAAAAAAAAAAAAAAACCCCCCCCCACTATTTTTGCGCAGATAGGCCCTC